TTGATTTGTCAGGTCTTTTATTTGCTCTCTTTGAATCGTCTTATTGTTTTCTGCGTATCTGTTCTTACTGTATCTTTGCGTTTATAAGGGCGAAAAGCACAAGTTTAACGGTAGCAGTTGGTTTTATTTAGTTATTTATTCGTTTTTTCCTATTATCTTCCTTTCCAGTTGCTTCTTTATTCTATTAAAATATACTGCTAGATTCTGCATGCAGATTAGTTTGTTTCCTCTTACAGACATTATCTGTTAACTTTTTTTTGATTAAAAAATTTACTTTTAGGTTTCTATATTTGTGGGAAGGACGATGTCAGATAACAATTTTTCACGGCGAGGATTAAATCCGAATGCTCAGGCATTTGTTCCAAATCCTGGAGCTCGGCCATTTGTTCCAGGACAGCCATATATGTACAGTGGTCCTCCATCGATGTGTGGCCAACGTATGCCAATGTTCCCTGTATACCAACAAATGCCACCAATGTTTCCTCCCCAAGTGATGCTCAATACCGCCCGTATGCATTATATGCAGCAACAGCAGTATCGTCCTCCTCCAACACAGCAGCCGTTTAGCGATCAGCAACAACCAGCCGAAGGTGTTATTTGTGTGGACTTGTATGTGTTCACCTGTAATTTCAAGAATATTATCAATCTTAATAGTGAAATTTTTTAGCTTGGGATGATGAGTTTCCAGATAGCGAACCTCAAGAATTAGGGTTAGAAGAGCCACGAGCAGCTGGAGATATAAATATTCCAACGAGGCCAGAACAAGAAGTAGCGTTGAAATTTTTTCAACCTTATCTTAGTTCCCTCTCATAGGCAGTTTACTCTCGAGCTTGAATGTTTTTTGAAGCATTATTTGGTGTTGTTCAGGAAGGGTGTTAAATTTTGAGTGGTTCTGATTTCTAGGTTGAATCGTCTGAAAAAGTAGATGAAGAGAAGGAAGCGGTGGTTGAATCCAATAATGAGGAAAATTTCAATGGTCTTGCTGCTAGGGAAGTCGGTGCAGGCGATGATAAAGCAGTTTTGGGACCCGAATCGACGGAGAAATTAGAAGAAGACGAAGTTGCTAGTTTAGCAACAAAGTTTAAGCGCTCTACCTTTGTCGACGGTTAGAATTCAAGTACATTTTTGCGTTTTTTTTTTTTTTTTTGAAGTATTCAACACCGGTTAGTCCTTTCCAAATTTGTGCGCTTCTTATCTTATTATTCAGATGGAAGTCGGAAAGAGCATATTATAATTGTCTTCATTGGCCATGTGGATGCAGGAAAGTCTACAATAGGCGGACATATTATGTACTTGACAGGGATGGTTGATAAGAGGACTCTTGAAAAGTACGAAAAGGAGGCAAAGGATAAAGGACGAGAGTCTTGGTAAAGAAAGTTGAACCCTTTTAATAATTAAAAGATAATAATTGAAGTAAATGTGGAAGGTGGTCATTTGCTAAGTTTTCTCATGCTCACTTAACTCAGCAGAGAATGGATTTATAGAGTTAAGTAGTTATATAAATCAACCACGGTAAATTTACGGAGTAGCTACTGTGTAGAGGTAGTTCTTGTCCCATCGTAATGTTATGCGTAAGGTCACTATTAATGGAGGCAGCATTGAAAATGCTGCATTATCTTACTTACTGAGCCGGTCTTTTATTGATATCAACAATGTGGTTTAGGAATCATTATAGAACTTTTATTTTTGGAGGACTTGAAATAAGATGGTAACTTCTTGCTTGTCTTTTGTTTTTTCGATAGCATTCAGAATTACCAACTTCTTTAAAAGTTTTATTTTTTCTTTTTCTTATACGAGGTGCTAATTTAAATATTATTTAAACAGTTAATGGAAGTTCTGGAGCAGTTTTTGATGTGTTTTAAAAAAGTTTTCAGCTTGGAAGTTCTGCGAATATTTGGGTGAATTTCTTCAGGATAATGTACTACGTTTAACTCGATGGTTCTTTCTTTTCAAATTTCTTAGCTTTTTAAAGTTCAACAGATAATTTTTAGGTATCTTTCTTGGGCTCTTGATACAAATGACGAAGAAAGAGAAAAAGGCAAAACAGTTGAGTGCGGAAGAGCTTATTTTGAAACGGAACATAAGCATTTTACTATTTTAGATGCTCCAGGGCATAAATCCTTCGTGCCCAACATGATCAGTGGCGCAACTCAAGCAGATCTCGCAGTTCTAGTGTGTTAACCTCACCCATCCATTATTTTTAATCTTCTCGCACTGCACCAACTTTGTATTTGGTCTTGTAGGTAATAAGTGCGCGGAAAGGAGAGTTTGAAACTGGATTTGATCGTGGTGGGCAAACTTGTGAACATGCAATGTTAGTGAAAACTGCAGGAGTGAAGCATTTAGTTATTCTTGTTAACAAAATGGATGACCCAACTGTCAACTGGGACGAAGAAAGGTATGATTAATTAGTTATTGCACTTGTAGTACATCACCTTTTTTATCTCACTTATCTTCTTTCAGGTTCAAAGAAATTCAAAGTAAACTAACTCCTTTCTTGCGTAGATGTGGCTTTAACCCAAAATCTGACATGTATTATATACCAGTCTCCGGTCTCACCGGGGCTTTTATAAAAGAACGCCCTTCAGCAGAGTTTGGTTCCTGGTACACGTAAGCTTAAATTTTCCAAATTGTCATGGGTTGATTTCAAGCTCTTTCAAACTCTTGAATTACGGATTTAGAGGCCCTTGTCTTCTGGATTATCTGGACACCATGCTCCCTCCCATGAGCCGAACTTACGATGGTCCTGTGCGCACCGTCATTGCCGATAAGTATAGCGTAAGATTTCCATTTTTTGTGGCAAAGAGCTCTAGCCTTCCTTTATTTTCAGCTATTACAAGATTTTGAAGGTCAGGATACCTCAACTTTTATTCGGATTGTTCTATAGTTTCTTCTTGAAAATACTGTATTATAGGGGCAATGATGCATGCTGTGAAGTTGTCGTTAAATACTTTTCTTCACCACAAGTTTCTATAGTTTTTTAACTTTAAATTCTTATTGGTCTGCTAAAGAGTAGGGCTTTTCACTTAATTGCGCAAAACAGAAAGAGGAGCTTGGCGTTTCGCTTAACAAAGATATTTTAATTTTTTCAAGTTCTTTATAAGTGTTGGGATTTTCAACCAGTTTTCAGTAGGAAAGTGGTAACGCGTCAGTTTTTACAAAAAAAGTAATTTAATCCCTAATTCTATTGTTTGACCTTTTAGAAATAACTGTCCAAGAAGATTCACCTGACAGCATACGTTGTTTTATTGAAAAATACTTTTGAGATAGAATTAGTGTCTCTCAAGCTCTATCATTCACGAAACGTCGAACTGTTTCACGTTCACAAATTCTCTTTTGCGAGTTATACTACTAGTGGATGATGGGAGCATGCTATTATTCTTAGCAGCGATTTCCAGGAGTCGTAGTATTTAAATTTTTCACGTATGTCTGTTACTTTTCAGGACATGGGTACTATAGTCATCGGCAAAATGGAGTCTGGTGTGATTGGGAAAGGTGACACTGTCGTTGTTATGCCAAACAGGGTTAGTCTTATATTGATTTTATGGGCTGTTATTTTTTAGTTCGACTTTTGCATCCGCATTTTTCTTTTAATCTACACGTGATATCAGCGTAATTTCTCTTCAGACTATTGTACAAGTCATACAATTGTGGTCTGATGAAGAAGAAACTGATAAAGTTATTTCTGGTGATAATGTGAAGTTAAAGCTCAAAGGTATTGAAGACGTCGACATTTTAGCCGGGTTTGTACTTTGTTCCCCTGAGTCATTGTGCCACGTCGGGAGGATATTTGATGCTGAGGTAGGCAAATAATAATTAAAGGTTTATTAGAAAAATATTCCTTTTTCAGCAAGATAACAGACACGTTGTTATAGTCATGTCATATATTTTTCTTTTTTTTTACTTACCAGGCATGATATTTTACGCATTGCAGGTACTTATACTAGAACATAAATCAATTATTGCTTCCGGTTATTCGTGTGTTTTGCACATCCAGGCCGCTATAGAAGAAGTTACTGTGCAGGTAACCATTACTCTTTGTTAAGGGAGATCTTTTTGATAAAAGTTTTAATAATTGGACCTTCCTAAGTAAGGTATTAAATTCAGAAGCTTATGAAATGTCTAACTTTTGCCAACTCAAAGTAGTGAAAGTTTCAGAGAGTTATTTGTACCATCGACAAAAAAAGTGGTGCGAAAGTTAAAGCACGGTTTGTAAAACAAGATGAAAAGTGCATTATGCGTTTGGAGAGCGCTGAACCTTTTTGCCTGGAAGTTTTCAAAGACTTTCCTCAGATGGGAAGATTTATGCTACGTGATGAGGGTAAAACAATTGCTATTGGTAAAGTAGTTAAGATCGTTGAGTGATTGCTTTACTGGCGGCTCTCTGTGATTCCACTTTGTCTGTAACTTTCATCGAATTTCTGCAGTTTTACCCACTGACAATATTTTTTTTCAAATTGATGGTGCATAACCGTTTGTTACAATGCGATAGTAAGGACAGCTTTTCTTAAAAATTCTATTTACTCGAAGTGGAGAGTAGACCTGAACCTCTCCGCTTGCGCTTGTCTTTATGAAGTGGATGCCAGTCAGGCTTACCGTACCCACATATGTTCAGAATCCAAGTTCAAAAATCTGTTTGTTTAGTGGTCGGAAAAAAGCTGGGCTTTTGGACTGTACTGAACTTTCAAACTTGAAGAAATAAACTGCTAGTTGGCTGAAACTATTTTGTTTTTTCTCCTTTAATTTTGGCACTAC